TACAAATCAAGAGCATGTTATCACACATAACATTAAAACATTACGGATAAATGACAACATAAAAAAAAAGATGAACCCTTTTGTTGGTTTACTTTTAACAAATAAAACAACCAACAGTGAACTTAAAGGAAATGATTAATTATTGGTTTTATTTCTTGTTTAAAATGCTTCCCAACTGCATTCCTCAAGTCCAGCTCTGTTGCTGCCGGGAAGCTGGTCATCAGAGCATCTGCCAAATAAGAAAAAAAAAAGCACAAGAAAAGCTTGACAATTTTTTACTTTAATTCAGTCTTTTCAAATGCCGCTTTCTGCAGCGGACCACCCCCCTTCATGTTGATTTGGACATGAGGGAATTTTTTTAAAACCTTCAAATATAATACAGATTGAGGTGGTTAACAATTGCGGACAAAGTTAACTACAAAAGTAGCCCAGTACACACATTAACCTCAAATGTACATGGAATAATAAATTCACCCCCTACCGTTTTATTTCATTATGTTTTCTGTTTGTACTGTTTAGGTTTTAATGCTGCATTGCACATCTGAGCTATTTGCTCTATTTTAATACTGCTGCAAACTTTTTACAATTGATAATTTTATATTGCCATTTTAAATTATTTGTATTCTTAAGCTTTACTATCAATTTGGAAGTTTCAAAATAAATCTTATTGTACTTGTACAATGACAAAGATATTCTATTCAATTAGCTCATGCTCTCTCTGTATCTAACAAGCCATTGTTCAGTCATAAATTCAATATAATAATTAAAATAAATGATGGACTTTGTCAAAGATGAGAGCTTTAGTGAGGAAATGTTGCTTTGGAGAGGTTTTTTGTTTTTTACCATTGCTCCCGATCTTTTCCAGATGTTGAAACTCCTCAGTTTCTCCAATTCTTCTGAGTGTGTTCACTGTATAAATTAATATGGATTAATCTTTGTCAAAGCTGTGTTTGTTCTGTTGTTTGCTCTTTCGCCTCTTCTTGCGCTTGCGTTTGTAAACATGTACAAATGATAAAACTTTTACTCTATTAAATTCTGAACACATGCGTGCTGAACCGTGGGCCTAGTCACGGATCACGATCAACTACGATCTGCTTCCTTCACTAAAATGTCACGGTTCCTAAACATGATAACAAATAATATAGATAAATAATGAACACGTCAAAACGAAAACACAGATACTTACAAGACCAAGTAGGAATGTCCTTTATCGTTTGTTGTTTGCCCGCTGCTCTCCGACAAGTAAACTTAGTGCTTAGTAAAAAAAATTCAAAACACAACACTGATCTCTAACTCCCATGTCTCGCGTTGCCAGTAGTCATGTCTCAGTAGGGCTACAATTGCCATCTAGCGGTTAGGAATTGTAATTGCATTTTTATATATAAAATGAAAGACAGCCGAATATCAATGAATCATGTAATGTGTATGACTGTAACATTTAACAGCTTGTGGGATGCATGACATCATATTATCAAATGCAAGTAAACTTTTGAAACATTTAAATTAGCATTATTTTTGGAATAATAAATAATGCTATATTTAATAATGCTGTAAAATAATTTAATAAAATATAAAATAATGCTAATTTAAATGTTTCAAAAGTTTACTTGCATTTGATAAAAAGCTGCGTGGGCGAAAAGGACATGTAAAATATTTTAAGGCTATTTTGGCCATGCTCATCGCTGGTCTGGTTCCTGGTATAAGGCTATAGCCA